CTGACAAATCAGGATGGAAAAAAGCAAAGACCTTCAAGAAGTAAAAATAAAAATTGCACCAAAACCCCTGACCACCCTGAGGGGCTTGTAGTTTTTGCCTTTAAAAAGCTAACCCCACCCAAGAACTCTAACTCCTCCCTGCCATGCTGTGATGAGTGCTCGAGATGAGTTCCATGCTAGCTGCATTATGCTAACAGTAACAATAAACCTTGCTGTTGCAGTCTGGACTTCTCTGATTTCTGGTGGTCTCTCTGGGGGTCATAATCTGGGCACAACATAGTGTTAGTGTGGAACGCCTGCCCTGGGTATTCTGATCGTAGTTTTAGCTATAGGAAGCAATCAGAGATAAATGTCAGTGAGGAGCTCAACTGTAGCAGTGAAGACTGTGGTTGGGGGCATTCTCCCCATTTCTAGGAACACCAGAGGATTGCTGGGAGTGTGAGATATGGGTAAGCTGACTGGAAGGGGAAAACTCACCACCAAAGCCACTGGTGTCTGTAGAGGTTTGTGCTCAGGTGCAGGCAGATCCCTGGTTCCCAAGCCCAGGGTTTGATGTGCCCTCAGCTGGCCTGCCCCCAGGTGGGAGGGAATGTGGAGAGAGCCTGGCTGAGTCATAAATCAATGTTATTTTTTTTAAAGATGAAATAATGGGGGACTGGTCCCATGAGGGGTCGTGGTCCAATGAGGGGTAGTGGTGGTTGAGATACACCAAATGTAATGGTTTAGATAAAATGCTACAGTTCGCTGAGGAGTGGCAGTGTGCCACTGTGGGTGGTTTACGGCAGCAGTGGATTAGAGACCATGTCAGGCCACAAGGGGCAGCCAGTACCACCACACAAGGCCTCTGTGTGTCCCAGGTAGGTCAGAGGCAGCAGATGAGAGACCTTGGTGAATCAGCTGGGCAGATAGTCCCACAATGAGTAAATGAGAGACAGAGACAGATAGGCATGCCATGAAGAGAGTTTTTGGATATAATTTATTTAGTAAAAGGGAGAGAAAGGATAGACAGAGAGGGAGAGAGAGAGAGAGAGAGAGAGAGAGAGAGAGAGAGAGAGAGAGAGATTGACTCTCTGGTATGCTCAGCAAGGTTAGATGTTGTGGTGTTCTATTAAAAACTATTTTCAAAAATTTGGGTCTAGGTCTCCCATTCTCTAGTTCAACCATGTTTAAAAGGTCCCCCTATGCCCTGTGTCAATTCTTCTGGCACAGAAAGCAAAACAAAACAGCCAAAAAAACTAAACTAGGTTTATACGAACATTCTACACCTCAAGATTCTAAGTTTATTTTATTGGATTTGGTTAAAAATCTGGTAAAACTATTTTTCAAAATGTTTAGCTTAAAACTAGTAACACATGGTTGGTAGTTAAAAATCTATACATAGGTAATCTTAAAGAGATCATGTGCCATGATCCCATTCTGGCATATAAACAGCACGTGGCTTGCTGACATCTCTAGCTAATCTTGTGACTGGTCATCATCTTTGTTAGGGTTGGAGAAGATGATGTCATATGACGTCACCATCATATAATTAAAAGTGACCACCCACATGAGGTGAGCCTACGAAGAAAACAACAGGTCTTCAAGAATGTATATGAGGATAGATTTTTGTATGATATTTCCTGTCTTGTCCTAATAACAAGGTCCAGAAATAAATCGCAGATATTATATATTGAATAATCTACACCATTAAAGTTTGATTTTACCTTATGTGGGTTATTGTTGTGCCCTGGGCTGGAGAGATGGCTCAGTGGTTAAAAGCACTGGATCTGAGTTCAATACCCAGCAAATGGTTGCTCAAAATCATCCATACGGAGGTCTGGTGCCCTCTTCTGGCCTTCAGGCAGACATACAGGCAAAATATTGTATACACCATAAATATATAAATCTTTTTTAAAAAAGGGTTCCATATTTTTGAAAGATTATAAACCTTGTAGGTTTTATCTTCATTTTTATTTTAATTATTCCCTCAGAATGACCATTATTTTCATTTATTATTATATATTTGGATACACATACACACAGAGTTTTGCCCTCAGACATTCAGGGCTATTGTTGCTGGAGCTTTAGGAAGATTGTGTTTAGCCATTTTATTTTGCTAAATGAAAAAGAATGTTTTTCTCCCATATTGTTTTCTTTTTATCAAATCTTCTAATTGTATCCACCCTCACACTTGAGTCTAAATTTGGGTGTTATGTTTGGTACCATAGTCAAGTTGAACAACACAACAGAGCTTGAAAATCCCCATCTGAATAATGCTGACTTCAGAAGAGGCTGTTAAGATAAATGACTGTCCACAAGACCAAGACAAACCAGCAACTAAATGCTGTTGTTTCTCTTCTTAAAGGGACAAACAGACCTTAAATGCTGTTGTCCAGAGGATAACATTTTATTTGGTGCAAAAAATGTTGACATCTAAAATTTTATGTGTTTGTTTTGATTTTGATTATAGACAGGATCTTATTCTACAATAGTTCAACTTAAGCAGTTGTTTGCTGATGGTCACCGAGTAAGTGGGAAAAGAAACTGCAAATGCCAGAGAGGTGGCCCAGTGGTTAAGAGTGAGTACTGCTCCTGCAGAGGACTGATGTTCAATCCCAGGACCCACAGGAGGGAGCTAACAGCCTCTAACTCTTTATTATTCATAATTCTGAACTGGTGTGTGATTGTTTTGTGACTTACATCATCAGGAGGGTGGGAAAGGAAGGAAGGGAGGAAAGAAGGAAGGAAGGAAGGAAGGAAGGAAGGAAGGAAGGAAGGAAGGAAAAAAGGAAGGAAGGAAGGAAGGAAGGAAGGAAGGAAAAAAGGAAGGAAGGAAGGAAGGAAGGAAAAAAGGAAGGAAGGAAGGAAGGAAAGAAGGAAGGAAGGAAATAGCACCTAGCATTCCCACTCTGCTACCATTATCCATTCTTCCCACTCCTCAATTTACATCAAATAATTGTCAAGCATATGGAAAGTCAAGATTATAATATTACTTACAAATGCATAAACTAGCTAGATATGTTTTGTATATGATGGTAGACACTTCAAAACTTCTAGGTTAGGAATAAGTGAGAATTTGTTACTCATGACAATATCTGTAGCCAAAGTAAGGTCACTTTTGCATCAGTTCCTGCATTTCTAGTTTACAGAACATAAAGTGAAACAATTCAATGGCACATGAACATTCAGTAGGTTGAGTATAAAGAGAAAAACTTTGAGTAATGGGAATACATTTTATTTACAGTAAGCGTGGATGCCTCTTTGACATGGAGATTAGCTGTTTACTTTTATTAGTCATGATTCCCATTTCCTTGCAGGGAGATGCTGTCTCTACACGTCAAGATTGTACAATATGCAAACTTGTTGAATAAATGTAGAATGAAGCACAGTCAGTCCCTCCACTTGGCACATGTAAAAACAATGTAAAAATCCTAGCAGGTAGATACTCATATGTTCCTACCCCTAGGCACAGAACACATGTCAATTGTTACTGCTAGAAGAGCATATGACAGTTTCTTCTAAGTGTGTATCACTTTATATGCTGACCATATTCCAGTGAATTATTTTGGCATCATTATCTAATCTTGAGAGGCTTTGGTTTTTGTTGCTTGGTTGATTGATTGCTTAGTTAGTTGTATGTTTCTTTGCATGGTCAGTTGGTTGGATGGTTGCTATGATTTTTATTTTTAGGACACAACCATGGATGGGTAGGGGAGGAAAATGGATCTGGGAAGAGTTGAGGATAAGTATGCATTGCCTGAGATTTCTGTTCCACCTGGTCCTGCAGCCATTTAATTCCAAAGAAATACGCAGAGGTCTACATTAATCATAAACTGGTTGGCTTATTAGCTCAGGCCTCTCATTAACTCTTACAGCCTACATTAACCCAGAATTCTTATTTGTGTCAGCCACATGGCTTGGCACCTTTGATCAGCAAGGCATTCTCATGTTGCTTCCTCTGCATCTGGGTTAGGACTGCAGAATCAGCCTTTCCTCTTCCAAGAATTCTGATGTTTTTGCCTGGCTACGGGCCAATCATCATTTTATTAAAACAGTACAACTTACAAAACTTTACATGGTACAATACCATTGTCCCACAGCAAGTTTGAACACAATACATATATACAAAATTCTCAAAGAACTGGTTTTAAGAAAAAATAAAGATAAAGAACAGAATACAGAAGTAAATAAAAATGACAAAGAAAACAGAAAAATAAAAACACAAACAAAACATCAAAAGGTAAAATTTAAAAGAAAAAAATGTGAGAGATTAAGAAGTATTAGTTTGTAAAAGATGATTATTGATTTCTCTTTTTAGTCTTATTTTTAATTTTTAATTATGTGTATGTCTTGTGGGGCGAAGGTAAGTGCACATGAATATGTGTGCCCAAAGAGGCCAGAAGATGGACTTAGATGTCCTGAAGGCAGAGTTACATGCAATTGTGCAGGGCCAACATGTGTGCTAGGAACCACATTGCAAGAACAGTACACCCTCTTACTCGATGAGCCTTCTCCAGTCCACCCCTCCCCATTTCTCATTGAATACTTCAGGTTTTAATTTGTTAGTAACCTACTTTTTCCAGTAGAATTTATACTCAAAATGTTCTTTCTGTCTATCTACATATCTCTCTCTCTCCTTCTCTCTCTCTCCCTTGTCTTCCTCAACTCCATTTATCTCAACAAAACTCCTCACTTAAAAATATTTATATGTAAACTTAGTATAAATTTTCCTAATTTATTATAAAGCAATGCCTGGGAGAAAAAAAGATAATCAACAAAATTTTGTTAGGGAATAAAAGGAAGTAATGCATCCCACTCTCAAACCTGCTTTGATAACTAAGAAATCAAATGTTAGTGAGACCTATTCCTTACAACCAGAAGCACTCTAAAATTCTTGATTATAGTTTGATAATTTGAAAACAATACGTTTAAAAGTATATGATCCATGTGTTGAAATTGATTCTAATTTTGTAAATAACAAGGCAGTCATGAAATTACATAAAAATCAAGAAAGATACATCAAATATTTCTTTTTGTTTAATAAATTTTCTGTAATTTGTTTGTTATTTTTTTAATCATCAAGAAAAAAAAACACTTGAGATTTTTGTATCATTTGAAGGAATCCTGCTTCTCAATCACTCCACCAAATACAGATACACATTGTTTAGAGGGAGGAGAGTCTCTGTAATGTTTAATAGCTCATGCTCAGTATTCTTCTAAAAATGGATAGTAAGGGTGATCCACCGCACTGAAAGAGAAGAAGAAACACAGGTTGTTCACGAGTCACACTTCTGATAGATAAAATGAAAACAGTCATGTTTGAGAACCCAGAAAAACTTCTGTGCACCCTGTCTTGCTAAATACAATGGAATACATCAGCGATTAAGGTTGTAGATCAACTGATTTAATTATTTTATTCTTAGAATTTTATTATGATTGATGTGTGCCAAGACATGCTTGTGGAGGTCAAAGGACACCTTTGATGTAGCTTGGTAAAGGACTGTCCCAGGGCAAATGTCAATGGACACTGAGAGGAGGACGCTGGAAGAGAATGATGTTTTCCCTAGGACTTATTCATATCACCTTTGAGAGTTCATCTTCCACACAGATTATTTGAATTACATGTTATACTGTTTTAGTATGAACAAAGTTAGAATAGATTTTAGTGTAAAAAAAAAAGTTAAAACAGTCTTCATGTATAACTGTACATTCATTATTATTGAATTCTCTTTTATTTCTTTGGATTACAATAAACATTAATGAGAAAGTATTTTCATGGGCCTCTTACTATATCATGAGCCATAGATAATCTGTTCTCTGAGTCTAATGGGCAGGTGAACCCTGAAGACATTTATTTTGGCCAAAGGTCATAGCATATTCTTTATTTTTTTTAAATATTTATTTATTTATTTATTTATTATGTATACAATATTCTTTCTGTGTGTATGCCTGAAGGCCAGAAGAGAGCACCAGACCTCATTATAGATGGTTGTGAGCCACCATGTGGTTGCTGGGAATCGAACTCAGGACCTTTGGAAGAGCAGGCAATGCTCTTAACCACTGAGCCATCTCTCCAGCCCTAGCATATTCTTTATTATCAGTTCACAGTGATGCAACTTTGACCATTTGGGGGGACAAGGTCACATGTATTCTGTGTTTCAGTTGAACTCCCTGTATAGCAAGGATGACCTTAAACTTCTCATCCTCCTGTTTCTATCTCCCAGGGGCTGAGAATAATGGTTTAGGCTATCATGTCTGTTTTTATCTGGTGCTTGAGAAGTGCTGAACCAACCAATCTATAGCCCCAAATTGGCCAGTTTTGAAATGGGGTTGCCCTGAGTCTCACTGCCTGTCATGAAATTCAGAAGGAATTTCTCTCTTCTGAGGTTCATAGAGATGCTTTTGTTGAAATCCTATTCTGGAAATGAGGTGTGTCTTCTGTAATGACACTGTATTAAAATGCTTTCTTGTGTTGTTTCTGTAATCTTCTGTCTCTTTAAGGAACAAGCCATGCCCACTCCCTTCCTGCTTTGCAGCCTTGGTTCTCTCTTCCAGGTTCTCTCTTAGGAAAAGCAGCCTCTGCCTCTCCCCTCTTCTCCCCTCCTCCCTTCTCTGTCTCTGTCTGTCTGTCTCTCTCTTACCCCTTATTCCCCTTTCTGCCCTTCTCCCTTCCCGTCCATAACCATTAAATAAATATCCAACCCCACTCTGTATGGTGAGCCTATCTGTCTGTCTGCTGCTGCAGGGATCCTGAAGCAAGTCTTGCCCACCGCCACCACATGGCCAGGGACCAACTACATGGAGATCTGCACATTTCTCATGTGTATTCCCTGCCTAGGTCTGTCTGCTCCCACTGGCCACTGCCAGGACCCACTTGTCTGCTGCCACTGGGATCCTGCAGCCAGCCCCTGGGGACTCACAACAAACCCATTACAGTTTCAGCTCACTGAAAAGCTGGCTCTGGAAGCAGAGTAGCTGCTTCCTGCAGTTAAGACCCAAAGTATTTTGTCTCTATGTATCCTCTGAGGCCTCTTGTCTACGGTTGGGATCCTCCCACCCGTGAAAAAACTCTGACAGGGAATGAAGAAAGCAGTAAAACAGCCCAAGAGTGAAAACATCATGCTTTTAGAACAGTGAGAAGTTTCAATAATGTAAATTGCCTGCCATGGGAAAAAGAAGCTGGAAGTTCAGCCATGGGAACTGCCTCATCTTCCCCTGTGACCTGCATATAATAATATACTGGCCTGCTGTGTGAACTCTGTTCCCATAGCACTTTGTCTACTCCCAAGAGGAGAATGCCTCCTACCTGCTAAGGAATATCAAGCATAAGATGTGTCTCCTCCCCTTATTAGCTGTGCAGCTTTGTGTTCAAAGACATTATTCAAACAACCCCCTCCAGTCAAGATATCTTCTGTCCCCTGAGCACTTCTATTGATAGGAAATAGTCTGAATGCTTTTTATCTTTCCTCTCTCCCTACTTTGAACTATAAGCTAGCCATAACAAAGAAAACTTCACAGAATGCCAGTAAAGGCATTCTTGAGCAGCAGATCCTAGAGTCTCTGGTTCTGTTGAATCTTGAATTTGACTTCAATTCCTCACCACCAGTCACTGGTATATCTCCATATTCCTAGGTCTCTGTTTCATGTTATAAACACCCATTTGGATAATGTTATCTTTCTACTTGGTTTGTTCTACTTGGAATCCTCACCCTAGGGGCTCACTCTTCTCTGCTCAGGACTGTCTATTAGGAAGTACCTCTATTTCCCCAGCTGGATTTTGATGGATGTTTGTAAGCATCCAGTTTAGTAACACAACCTTTCTGCTTTCATATGTCCTTTTACCTAGAGGCCTCACCTGAGCAGACCCTGTTCTCTGTTTGAGATCCTCTCTATTGAGAACTCAGGTTGGTCATTTTAAAGTTGCTGTCTCAGTCAACTTCTGGATATTTTGAGTGCACAATGTTATTATATTTGCAACCTATCTATCACCACTTATTATTTTAC